ATATCCTGGCATACCTAGACCACTGAAGTCCTAACATTTTCATTAATTTTGTGGAAGTCCCTTGAATTTTCATAGGGTCTATCTCCTACTTTCTAGAGTGCTCAAGTCTTACCATTGTGAATATTCTAGGCTTTTTTTTTTTTTTTTTTGCTAAACAGTGACGCATTTTGTCATCAATAAAGTGGACCATTATGATGTTCTATGGGTGTGTAGCTGATCTAGTTCTCTTTTGACTATTTTATGACAGAGGACAGGAGAATTAACATATCCCTGGGGCAAAACTGTAAATGTATTCTGTTGTATGTTCCCAGTGGATAAAAACTATTTCTGATAAGAAAGGAAAAGAATGCATTCTCCAGATCAACAGCCACATACCGTGTAGCTGAGATCATGTTAATTTGATCTAGCAAAGATACTACACCTGGCACAAGCAGCTGAAATTTGGGCTAGTACTTGGTTTGCAGTAGTCCACTTTTATCTTCCAAGATCTGTCCAGATTTTACAAGAACAAGACTGCTTACTCAAATGGAGACATGATGAAGACTATCACCCTGCATCCTTTAGGATGGCATTAATTTCTGCCATTTACCCTGGGATTAGATGTTATTCTTTGTTTTCTATCTTCATTTGGGCTGGTACCATTTTAGAGGATTCCACTTGGCCTTTCCCACTATGATAACTCTCATCCTGGTGGTTGTGCCAACAACTAAGGATGTCGATTTCAATTATATATTTAGGCCAAGGAAATGACGTTTGGGTTGCTCTGTAGACCCAGTGGAACAACTGTGACCCAAAACTGAACCACGACTCCATTTATTGCCTGGCTTTCATTTCCCCCCACTCTAAGGGGTCCATAAGGATGCTTCAGGTATTCAGATATCAGTGTCAGTTTGGATCTTGTGCCCAACACTTATGGAAATGTTTGGATACTACTCCCTCTTCAGTGTATAGTTACTTAAGTAAATAGCTGTGGTTCCCTCTCAGGATGGACTGGGGTAATCATCACTGGTGTACTTACCGTAGTGCTGCAGGGTCCTTCATCCTAGTGACTTACCTCTCTTTCACTCAACAGGTTCTGGTTCCAAAAACTGACTCAAGTTTAGGAACTGGGCAAAAAATAGGGACTTTTACTGGGGTAACTGTGCTCAGCCACCTGATCATCTATCCTTGATTTCATTTGACTTCATGGATTGATTAACTGCCTTCTATTTTTCCCCTAGTGATGTCATGTTCTGTTAAACATCTCCATTACTCTTTGAAGGTCAGGGTCCCCTGACCTGGCTTCTGATGGTTACAGCACTGCCCCCTGGCTGTGTATCAGGGTCCTAGCATGCCCATTTCTATCATTTTTATAACAGCATAGCTTACTGTCACCACTGGCCAACAGAGGACTATCACTATAAAACAATTTTTGTGATGTTAGTCCCCTCTCATCATCATATTTCCGGCAAATATGATGGTAAATGGTGTATCCTCTTAGTCCTCTCAATAAATATAGCCCTCCAGTGGGTTTTTCTGGACTTACATAGTATATCCACTCTCGCATTCTCACTTCTGCCGTATGGTCTTCCACTACCTGCCATAACAATTCTGACATTTCTACCTAACTTAAGGTGGACCATTGCTTTGTCCATGTTTGGAAAAGAAACCATCCTTGGGGTCTTCGACAAGGAGTCAAATCCTGTTTCCTAGAAGAGTGTCCCCAAATCAATAAACTCTCCCTATCCAACTTTATGTTCTGCCTCCCTCCCCTGCTTAGTCAAGCACCCTCAGAATCCAGTCCCACATATATTCCCCCAGCAGGTACATATTGGCTGGGAACTGCAGCTCCTTTGAGGTAGAGTCCCTTTCCTACCTTATCAGGCCAGCATTGCCATGATGTGTCAACTCTAGTTATTGGCCTAGTGACCAGAAGGATGATGGGACAGATCTGGGGAGAGAAGGGGTGCCACATGTTATCTTATGTGGTAGAAGCCTCTGCATCATCTTCCAGCAAGTGGGAGAGCTAGCCTTTTATAGTTAAGAGGGGCCAGAGGGTTCAGGGGAATATGGGCATTTAAGATGTTGAGACTATCAACCCAGTTGGCTCCATTCATGGTGTAGAGTCCTATTCTTTCCCAGCACAGATCATGAACTTGGCATAGCAGAACTTGTTTGTTTGTTTTTTTGAAAGTTTATCTTCTTCGGAACTCTGTTACTCTTAAAATTAAGTCCTGGGCCTAGTCTTCAGTTTCCACCCAATTCCACTGTCTTTGTAGATACTCTTTCCCTCATGTTTCTTAAATGCTGAATTATAGCATCACCTAATGCATTCCTTTCCACCAGTATATCATCCCATTTCACCAGCAGTGTAAGTTTTATCAATGGCACTGCTACGTTGTACCAAAGGCTCCCTCTGTTCTACCTATCACCAGTGATGAGATTCTCGTTGCCAGTTGGGTGGCCAATGATCCAGTTCCTGAGTCTACTCTCAGAATTTGCTTTCTCAAATCTGGCATCAACTGTTGGAGGTCAGGTACTCTGGGAAGCAGACTCCAAGACAGAACTTATAGTGCACTAAGGTTATTAGAGAGTGCTTTGGGATCAACACCTGTGGAAGAGTTGTAAAAGAAACAATATTGGGAGGAGGGAAAAGTTAAGCTGTGTTTTAGAGTCAGTGGGGGTCTTAGCTGAGCTGACCCCACAGGGAGTTCTACTTCTTTGGAGTTATTACGAATTGAAATGAGATGATCAGAACTTCATACTCCTTCTTGTCTCATTAGGTGTGGGCTGCCCTGGGAAGGGAGCATAACCTTGGGCAAGGCAGCTCCTATAGCAGAGGCAATCTCTGAAGAGGGCCAAGAACTGAGGGCTATCTGTTGGCAATACTCCCACAGGCTGGCCAAAGAGGATAGGGAGGATTTTTTTTTTCCTGAAGGAGGATCTGGGTGGTACATCACTGCATTCATCAGCTATAACAGCAAAATATTTTTGATAATTTCTAGATTTCCAACTTCCAAAGAGTGCAGAACTGCCTGGAGATGAATGTGGTAAGCAAATACAAAATGTTTCTTAATGATCTACTATTAGGTTGAAGAATATGATATTGACATTTCCTTAGGTCAAAATGATTGAATATTAACAATGTAATACTCTCCAACTTAAGTAGAATAAACAGAGAAGGCATTTGCATTGGGCATGTGGTCATATTTAAATGTTTATTCATTCTAAAATGATCTATCAAATAGCTTCACCTCCCACACAAACCCCATGCGCCCCCCCCCCCCAACACACCAATCCTCCTCCTTTGGGTTATACTCATTAAAAAATCCTGCTATTAAAGCATTTGATGTCACCCACAACCACTAGTAAAATAAAGCTTCATGAATGCAATGGGAACTTATCTACTTCTATTCACCACATTCATTCCACCTCTGAGTCTTGAATCTTGTTCCTCTTCCCACTTGGAATGTTTCTCCCTACATTGCTCCACACCAAATAACACCATCCTTTTACAAACCCACCTCCTCCTTAGAGCCTCTTTTGATGACACCAAGTTATCATAGCTTCCCTGAGTTTCATCAGCACTTAAGGTCAGTTCAACACAATCTAGGATTTAATAATGGGGTGGTGTGTCTTATGGAAGGATTTTTTTTTTATGTGGATTGCCTTTGTTTCACCAGATAGGTGTAAGTTCCTTGAAGGTAGAGGTTGTAACTTTTACTTCCTCTGTTTTGTCCACATCCCTAGCACCCAAATGGAAACTCATGACGGAGAATCATGTGGACTTTAAAGACGTTTGAATATGTATATTTCCTACTTATCTACTTTAACTGTCCTTTCAATGTTATGTATACATAAATAAATCATTCATAAGCACTCAAAAAGTCTAGAAATAAAGTTAAGGGTCTGTCAAAATATTCTTGGAGGGTGTGAAAAAGATGAGGTGAGAAGAAAAACTGTAAATACTGAGAGAGCAGAAGCTATGAGTTTGGTTTCGTGATTCTTCCTCTCATAGAGCTCTATACTTTCCTTAATAATACTTCTCATTGTTTCTAATTAGTATATGTTTATGTCATTATTTAATTAGTTTCTGTCCTGCCCCAACTAATTTATAAGCCCCATGAGGACAGGGACCATGTTTGTTTTACTCACCATCATATTTCTAGTGCCTAGCACATAATAGGTGCTCAATAAATATTTATTAGAGTGATTATTAAAGGCAGTAACTTAATGACTATCATTTGGTGAAAGGAAAATAGGACTTGTGCTTTCAGTTCCAGGGGCTTCTGACCACCAACTCATGCCTTTGGCCAATGCTCCAACGTTAGTTTCTTTCACTCTGTCATATTTCCTTGTTCAGGAATATCCCTAATGTGGAAACATTCCCAGTCCTTTATCTCTACTATAAGAACCCATCCCTCCCTCTTATGGATACATTTTTAGAGTAGAGGATTTGTCTTTACTCCAGAAGTTCTCTGTCCTGCGACTGAATCAGCTACCTGGATGCACAACATCTACCCATGAGATCATCAACTTCAGCAAAACAGGTTCATCATCTAGCAGTGGCACCTCCAAATTGGCACCAAAAACTCTTGAAATCCCCCTAAGAAGCTTTTCCCCAAATTCTGCCTAAAGATCACCCTCTGGACACGCTTTCCCTAAACTGCCCTTCATGCTCGACTCAAATATTGGAAGTGATTTCTTGCGTTTACTATTCAATACAGTGTTATCATAGCCATGAATCTATTCTCTCCCTTCCTCTCCCTCTAGTTTTTCCACCATTTATCTCTCCTCTATGCTATTAAGATTGTGTGTGTGTGTGTGTGTGTGTGTGTGCGTGCGCACGTGCGCGCGTGTGTGGTGAATTGTGGAGTGCGAAAGAATTTGTGACATGGCAAAGTGAAGAAAGACAGTGTTAAAAGGAGGGAAGATAAAATCATTTTGATGTCTTTTTATTCTGCACTCCTGAGATCTCTGTTGCTGCATAACAAATCACCTCAACATTTAATGACTTAAAATGATATCAACCATTTATTTTGCTCAAAAGTCTGAAATGTAGTCAGGCCTTGGCAGGGGCATTTGAATCTGCTCTACATGGTATCAGCTGGGGCAGCTTGACCAGGAGCTGCAGGATCCACTTCCAAGATGGTTCATTCACACATGACAAGTCAGTGGTGGCTGCCAGCTGGGATCTCAGCTAGGGCTGAGGGTGGCGGGGGAGTAGGCTGTTGGATTCTTCACAGTATGGTGGCCAAGTTCCAAGAGTGAACATCCTGGACCTAAATGGAATATGTTTGGATATTACTAAAGAATTTAGCTGAGAATCCCAAGTATTGCCTGATCCTCTCTCCATCTGTTTTTCATTTATAGCCAGCTTATTTTAAAAAAGATTTGAGGCAGAAGCTCCCTTTATTTAAGGTAGACAGCATAATCTTTAAACATGATTCTTATACTCTGGATTCTAAGAGATGGTCAACATTTTTGAGAAGAAAGAAAAAGCATGTGCTTGTGCATTTGCATGCTGTGTGAGCATACATGCACACGCCTGTGTGTTTTTATGTGTATGTACATCATGTGGGTGACTTATGTGTGCCTACATGTGTGTGCATGTGGGAGTGTGTGTATATATGTGTGTCTACTTATGTTGTGTGTGTTAGCATGTGTATGGATGTGTCTGTGTGGTGTGTAGTTTCCATGAGAGTACCAATCTTTATTGGTAGTTCTATAGTGACTTAGAGAATTGCTGCAAGACTGACTAAATGATAGCCCTGATGCTTTTTAAAAGAAAATTCAGTATTATGTGCAAATTCAACAAATTTAAGTGTAACCATTTTTAAGCTACATATATGTTAGCACAAACCATAGCAATTTCTCCAAGTGACCTATCATTTACAAAACTGAATAAGAGGGCTTACCTGAGCCATTATATTTTAAATGCTATAGTTTCAAAAGTCCTGTAGATTGTCCTGATAAAATACAAGGGATGCTGTGGAGGAAGTCTACTGAATTTTCCCTGACAATTATGATTCCTGCCACAATACTTGTACTTAGGGCTATCTGAGAAACGCCTCTGAAAAGATTTGTTTGTTCCTGGTTCAAATTAATAAAGAATGCAGACATTTTTACTTTTTTTATAAAAAAGCAAAGATTTAGGTTTCCAAAGAATGCACTACAAGACCACGCTACCCTTGGTATTGGATAATGAGAAACCTTATTTCTGTGGTGCTTAAGGGATTTATAGGAGTTACCTTTTGCTTATTTTATTATTTATATACATTAATATACCCCTTTTTTGGTTTACAGTTCTGTGAGTTTTGACAAAATGCTTAGAATTGTGTAACTACCATCACAATCAGGATATAGAGCATCTCCCTCACCCCCCAAAAATTAGCTAATCCTACCTCTTTATAGTCAAACATCCCCCCTCCCTTAATTCCTGGTAACCACTCATCTGTTTTCCTTCCAGGTGTCATAGAAATGAGATTACACCACATATAACTTGAGTTTGGCTTCCTTCACTTAGAAAAATGCATTTAAGATTCACCCATATTGTTGTTTATATCTAGTTAGTCTTTTTTTTTTTTTTGAGGAAGATTAGCCCTGAGCTTACTACTGCAGTCCTCCTCTTTTTGCTGAGGAAGCCTGGCCCTGAGCTAACATCCGTGCCCATCTTCCTCTACTTTATATGTGGGACGCCTACCACAGCATGGTGTGCCAAGCGGTGCCATGTCCACACCCGAGATCTGAGCCTGCGAACCCCGGGCCGCCGAGAAGCTGAAAGGGCGAACTTAACCGCTGCGCCACCGGGCCGGCCCCCTAGTTAGTCTGTTTTTATTCCTGAGTAGGATTTCATTTTATGGATATACCACAGCTTGTTTATCCATTCACCAACTGAAGGACGTTGAGTCCTTTCTAGCTTGGTGTTATCGTGAATAAAGCTGCTACAAACATCCATGTGCAGGTTTCGTGTGGGGACATACATTTTTGTTTCTCTAAAGTAAACAGTAAATACTTAAGGGTGGGATTACTGGGTCATACATACAAGGTCACAAAGATTTTTTATATTTCATCTAAAAGTTTTATAGTTTTATGTTCATATTAAATCTATGAATCATTTTTAGTTAACTTTTGTTTCACGTGTGAGGGATAGAATAGAGTTCATTTTTATGCCTATGATGTCCAATTGTTCTAGCACCATTTGTTAGTAACACTATCCTTTCTACATTGAATTATTTTTGCATCAATTGGCCATATTCGAGTGAGTTTATTTTGGGAACATCTACTAGTTCCCATTGACCTACATATATCTATCTTTTCACCAATACCACACTGACTTGATTACTATAGCTTTATGTAAGTCTTGAAATCAGGTAGCGTGAGTCCCTCAACTTTGTTTTTCTTTTTCAAAATTGTTTCATCTATTCTGACTTTTTTAATTTTTCAATATAAATCTTAGAATGAGTTCTAGATATCTACAAAAAGTCTGGCTGAAAATTTTATTGTGATTGTGTTAAATCTTTAGATCAATTTCGGGAGGATAGACGTCTTAACACTAAATGACATGGGTCTTCTGACCCATGACCATGGTATATTTTTCCCATAATTTAGGTCTTATTTGATTTTTTTGTCATTGTTTTATAGTTTTCAGCACCATATACTGCACTTATTTTGTTGATTTATAAGTATTTCATTTTTATTGTAGCTATTTTAAATGGCATGCTTTTAAAAAATTGGAGAATTTTAATAATTCATTACTAGTATATAAAAATACAATATATTTTTGCATATTATCCTTGTATCCTGAAACCTTGTATGCTCTTTAATTACTTCAAGGAGCTTTGACTTATATAATGTATTTTAATTGTTTGTTTTTTGATAACCTTGCAAGACATTATTATTTTATACATTCAACTTTCTTTTAGATTTGCTCATATATTTGCCATTTTCTCTGCTCTTCTTTCCTTTTTGCATCTCATATTTTCCATCTGTGATCACATTCCTTGTGCTTGAAGTATATCCTTCATAGTTTATCCTTTACATTTTTTCTAATGGAAATCTTCCTCAATTTCTTAAATAAAAATGCATTTGAGAAGAAAGAAATAAAAGTGTCTTTTTTCACAAATGACATGGTTGTCTATGTAGAAAATCCAAAATAATTGACAAAAAATACTCCTAGAACTAATACGTGATTATAGCAAAGTTGCAGGATATAAGGTTAATACACAAAAGTCAATCCTTTTCCTATATACCAGCAGTGAGTGAATGGAATTTGACATTGGCACAATGCCATTTACATTAGTACTCCAAAAAATAAAATAATTAGGTATAAATCTGATAAAATATGTACAAGATCTGCATGAGGAAAACTACAAAAATCTGGTGAATAAAATCAAAGAACTAATAAATAGAGAGATATTCCATGTTAATGGATAGGAAGACACAATATTGTCACGATGGTATTCTTCTTGATTCAACTTGATCTATAGATTCAATGCAATCCTAATTAAAATCCCAGCGAGTTGTTTTGTGAATATTGGCAAACTAATTCTAAAGTTGATATGGAGAGAGAAAAGACCCAGAATAGCTAACAATATTGAAGGACAAGAAGAAAGTTGGACGACTGACACTACCTGACTTCAACACTTACTATAAAGCTATAGTAATCAAGACAATGTGGTATTGGCAAAAGAATAGGCAGAGCAATGGAACAGAATAGAGAGCCCAGAAATAGATCCACATAAATATAGTTAATTGATCTTTGACAAAGGAGCAAAGGCAATACAATGGAGCAAAGATAGTCTTTTCAACAAATGGTGCTGGGATGGCTGGACATCCACATGCAAATAATTAAACTAGACACAGACTTTACACCCTTCACAAAAATAAACTCAAAATTAATCATAGACCTAAATGTAAAATTCAAAACTATAAAACTCCTAGAAGATAACACAGGAGAAAACCTAGATGACCTTAGGTATGGCGATGACTCATTAGGTGCAACATCAAAGGCATGATCCATGAAATAAATAATTGACTAGCTGGACTTTGTTAAAATTCAGAACTTCTGCTCTGTGAAAGATAATGTCAAGAGAATGAGAAGCCACAGACTGGAAGAAACTATTTGCAGAAGATACATCAGGTAAAGGACACTAATCCAAAATGTACAAATAACCCCCAAAACTCAACAATAAGAAAACAAAAAACCTAACTAAAAATGGACCAAAGACCTTAACAGATACCTCACCATAGAAGATACACAGATGGAAAATAAGCACATGAAAAGATGCTGTACATAATATCTCATCAGGGAAATGCAAATTAAACAACAGTGAGATACCACTACACACCTATTAAATGGCCAATATCCAGAACACTGATAACACCAAGTGCTGGAGAGGATGTAGAGGAACAAGAGCTCAAATTCATTGCTGATTGGAATGCAAAATGGTATAGACACTTTGTAAGACAGTTTGGCAGTTTCTTATAAAACTAAACATACTCTTACCATGTGATCCAGCAATTGTGCTCCTTGGTATTTACCCAAAGGAGTTGAAAACTTATGTCCACACAAAAACCTGCACACAGATGTTTATAGCAGTTTCATTTGTAATTGTCAAAACTTGGAAGCAACCAAGATGTCCTTCAGTAGGTGAATGGATAAATAAACTGTGGTACATGCAAATAATGGAATATCACTCAACACTAAAAAGAAATGAGCTATCAAGCCATGAAAAGACATGGAGGAGACTTTAATGCATATTACTAAGTAAAAGAAGCCAATCCTAAAATGTTACATACTGTATGATTCCAACTATATGACATTCTGGAAAGGACAAAACTATGGAGACAGTAAAAAGGTCATTGATTGCCCAAGGTTGAAGGAGAGTCGGGAGTAGGAATGAAGAGGCAGAGGACAGAGAATTTTTAGGGCAGTGAAAATACTCTGTATAATCTTATAATGATGGATACATGTCACTATATACTTGTCCAAATCCATAGAATGTACAACACCAAAAGTGAAACCTAATGTAAACTATGGACTCTGGACGATGATGATGCGTCATTGTAGGCTCATCAATTGTAATAAATGTACCCACTTTGCTGTGGGATGTTAATAATGTGGGAGAATATGCATGTAGGGGAGCAGGGGGTATATGGGAAATCTCTGTATCTTCCCCCCAATTTTTCTGTGAAGCTTACACTGCTTTAAAGAAAAAAGCCTTAATATAAAAAGAACGTATCCATTTTGTCATTCTTCAAAGATATTTTCTCCTTGTGT